TTAACTCTCTTATCAAAACAAACATTTTTTTTTTCCATTTTAGTGAAGATTAATTGTTAAGAAAAAATGGTTGATCGGCTGTGAACGTTTTTGAACAATCATTATAGCCACCACCATCTAAGCTCTTAAACTAGCATAAAAGTAGAAATACTTGAATTTAGAAACATGAAAGATGAGCTATTTATTCAATGCCTTTAAACAGTTCGAGAAAGTCAGCAGTGTTTTATCGGTTCGACAAAATTCTGTCGTCTGAATAAGAGACGTTGTTGAAGAACCAAAACTGGACATGCACGGTAATGCTGATAATGCAAGATAATTGAAGGGAAGCATAAAAGTTAGTTTTCGCTTTGGCTGGCGAACAAATTTCAACCGGAAATACAAAAGTCAGTATTCAGCAAACGGTGTTAAACAGGATAAACAATGGGTTAAAAAAGGAAACGTTACAAATATGCAAGTAATAGCTGTCAAAAGAAAAAAATTTTATAAAATTGATTGGAAAATAAATACACTAAAAGTTGCCAAAAAGTAAAACAAAAAAAGCAAATTCGTTTTTTTTCAACATTATTTAGCAGCCTAATCCATCTCTAAACCAATCATTGATATTTATTTTTACTTTTTTTCCTACATAAACTATATTAAGCATTGAGGCCAAAGTATAATATATTGATGAAAACGTTAGTTGAACAGATATTGTTTTCTCCACTACTTTAACAGGTAAAAGTTTTTGTCAACTATAATGACAACAAAAAAATAAAAACCAAAAAAAAAGAGAAAACATCTTTTATATATTTCCAACCACTTATTCACTTATTTCTAACAGACAGTGCTATTCAGAATAGTTGAAAAGACAGATAAAGATTGAAACTACATATATGAATTTATATTCATATTCTTTATTTTATTTGGTAGTTTCTCTTTCTTTTTTTTTATTCTATTTATTTGACATCGACACCTTCTTTCATTTTTTATTGTGGGAATTTTGGAATGGGTCATAAACTTGGACATAAACGTACATAACATCTGCTTTGCATACCGCAAGACAGCGCTGATACTGTAGGCAGCAGCGATACTGCTGCTGCAACAATGGCAGCAGCACCGACCACAGCAGCAACACCATCGACCGCAGTGGTAACAGTAATTGCGGTATCTCGTCTGATAATACCTTCCGAATATCATTTGCCATTCTCTACTTTCATTCTATGAATTCTTTTCTCATACTCCAGCACTATACTGTTTTGTAACACTTCCAGTATCCTGTTCTTCAAGTAGTTATTTTATCACCCCTAATTGATTTTCCAAATATTAATCAGCTTGTGAGCAGCCATCATTTTTTGCAACTCCTGAGATTTCCAAACAAAATCCCTGTAATTGTTGCATTAACCTATACTTTTTATTTATAATAATTTCAAATTAACTCTTGTCGGTTACCTAAAATTAGGTATACAAAACTTACGCCGAGATATTTACTGCAAGACTGTAACCAGTCTTTCGCCTATAAGCAAAATTACCAACAATAAAGGCAGTACCATCAAGAGCGGGAAAAAAACAATAAAAACTAGAATACTAAGGTAATGAGATCGGGTTGTCGAGATGAATTGTTAGTGAAATTGTGAAATAAATAAAACAATAAAACAAAATAAAGAGGTTTAATTAAAAGAAAAAAGCAGGACGAAAAAAGGACATTTTCTTGATGTGTTATAATATAAACCAAAATTTTTGAAGCTTTTGAAGAGGGATACGAAGGAAGAGAAGACATGGGGGAGGGGGGTGATTGGGTTGAGCAAAAATGATCGTTTGTTCGGAACGGCCTAAAACGTTGTGAAGAAATGATTCATTAGTTTTCT